AAAAATCAATTAAAATAAATACACACAAACACACACATTCTGATGCACTGACTTAGAAATGTTATTTTTTAAAGGAAAGTTGAAGAGGACCAGAAGCCAATTAGCCAAAGCCTGTGATATAAAATAAACAAATTACTGCATAGGGCAGTTGAGAAGATCATGTAAGTTCTATCAAGACCAATTTGCATAGAAAACAAACCTTGAACAGAAAGAGAGTGCTAGATCGTAGAGCAACTGGAAGTGAGAAACCATAGGGGGGCAATTGATCGATGCCCTACGAATTGCAGCATCTTTTGCAACCCTTAACCATCCAGGAGTGGCAATATTAGAGGCCTCTCCACAATTAAACCCTAAAATTCAAATTGACATTGCGAAATACTTGATCAACATCCTGCCTAAAAAAACTTGCTGGCCCACATCCAAAACCACATTAAACTGTGGCACTATGAAAACCAAACTAAGAAAGATGATTATCTTACCATGACTAAACCCCGAGTGATAAGCTCTTGGAAAGGTGACAACAAATTCTCCAACATCTTGCACCAGCCTGATCCCACAAAATGCAGTATGGTCAGAGTCTGTCATGGTTAAATATTACATATAGTAATACTAATTTTTGATGACAGAATTTAAATTTCCTACATCTTCTCTGGACAAAGACTTGCAACTAATAGTGTGTTTTAGAATATAGCTCACAAGGCGTGCTTTTGAGGCTCGCCTCACACTGAGGTGTTCACAATAGATATTGAGTCTTACACCCCTATTGCAAGTTAAGAGGCTAACATCCCGAACATTTGAGCTGTACGCCTTGAAGCGTGCCTCTCAGCCACTCATAGCGTCTTTTGAAGCAGATTTTATGTTGCTCAGATATTTCCCGGGAATGAATTTTGTCCACAAAAAGCTCTAAATCTATTTTGAGTCTTTTGACAGATATTCTTCCATTCTCTTATTTCCAGCAACATTATAGGTTACAACTTACAATTGCAGCTGTTTTTTATTTCTTTTTATTTTAACAATAACAAAAGAAGTAACAGAACATCTTTAATTTTTCCATTTTATTCAAATTGATCAAAAATAACAAAATCTCTGGGATCCAGGCATTTTTTTTCTGTTTTGCTTATCTTAACATCCTTTTCTGATTTTATTAAGGATGATAAATCATTAAAATTTCCTTTAATGAGTTAAACATATGATAGTGGTGTGCGACGCATAATTATGACTCACTTTTATGCATGACTGATAATATATTTTTTATTGTTATTTATTTTGAATTGTGTAAAGTTTTGTATAAACTTTGAGGGCTTGCGCCTCATGTTGCAAATTCAAAGCGCCTTTTTAAACATGATTAAAAATAAATTAATTTCCTCATGCCCCATAATCTAAATATGGAAACAATGAAATAACAGTAAGAAAACTAGGTAAAAAAAGCACCATAGTAGTTAATAACAAATCAGTATAGGCTGTGAGGGCTGTCTAAGTGGAAAACCAAATCAATACTTCACCTGCAGCATGGAACACCGGAATTAAGCAGCACTTCTGGTGACATGACAGTGGTCTTCTCTCCGAGGATAGCAAAAGTAACTGCGAAAAATTGAATACTAAAAAAGGTAAATCAAAATGCAAATAAAAAAACTAACAAATAATTCAGAAAAAATAAAAGCTTGATGATTCCACATTGTTGATACCAGCAAGGGAAAGAAATGCTTGAAACATTTTATCACAATGCAGCCCCGAATTTTTTCAAAGATATTCATAACAAACAATCACAAGTATAGCCCCGTAAAATCCGTTTCCACTTTCCAATTCCACTATAAACTTAATTATACCTCGAAAGTTCAGACACCATTGTCCACTCTAATTTGTATTGACGGCTCTTGGGGTATAAAAAGTTTAAATATAAAAAGATGGCGATAGGCGTGATAGAATGAAAATAGAAATTAACAATCTGCATCAATATTTAAAATTCCTAATCCATGCCAGCTATTGATCACCTTATGATCTAAACGTCATTTGAGTTCAATTTAGTTTCCTTTTTAGGTCATCTGAAATTTTGTTATTCAAAATAGTTTCAAGAAGGTCCAGTGAAGTTTGACCAGCAAGTAACCAACTAATTGATTCAAATGCTAACTATTACGCTATTACTAGCATTAGTACTTCTGTATTTACTTATGAAGAAGGAAGCCAGGTAACTTCAGAGAACTTTGTAAATCTTTATAAATGGATAATAGAAGAAAAAACAGTGTTCATTACTAAACATAATTTTTGCTTAAAAATATTTGCTCGACCAAAAGTTTCCATCTAATATAAACTGGTCCTCTAATTTCTCCCAAAATCATGGGAAAAAGTTTGACAACTCTAGCCCATAGTCCTCATCTCAATTAACACGAAACAGAGTAACACCCTCTATTTCCAACAAAGTTTGGGAATCATTCTACTATTCAGCATTTCAATTAGCATTATTAAAAATAACATAACTCTAACGACCTGTTTGGACGGGGGCCTTAGTCTATATCTTAATAAATTGAATGTTTCTAAAAAGGAATAAAAAGCTATTGAAATCTTATATGATCACATACTATGTTATTCTTATTCTTTCCTTTTTTGTAAATCACAAATACACACAGAGAACCTCATACACATATACACACGTTTATCCCTCCAAAGCTTTATCCCTGCCAGCCCCTCCATCCAAAGAGACCCTAGTGTAGAATACAAAGCAGGGGAAAGTGTCCACAATGCAAGGAAAGACAGAGCAAGTTGACAAAACAAGGACAGCTCACCAAGGGGGTTGATCTCCCCGCCATAGCCATGTACCCGGATCACCTCCTCAAAGGCCACTGCAGCATCTCGAGGAACACCATACCATGTCTTCCCTGCACCAGTATGCAGGTAATTCAAACTATGCAAGTCATGATCTTCCACATGCCAAGCAAACCAACTGAACATCATAGCAATGTACACCATGGGAGAAGTAACTCCAGGTATCTCTTCCTTCATGAACTTGAGCAAAGAGCCATTGGCCCTGGAAACTCCTCTCATATTCCACTCTGTCTCTGCCACTGTCACCCCTTCCCCTACAGCCCGACAGGAATCTGCCTTCTTAGGAGCAAATGCGGAACCAGGAATATCATTGGCGTACTCAACAGAGAATGGCTTATCCACTGTTGCCTTCCAGTAAAGGGACTCAACCTCCAAAGGAGGCATCCCCTTCTTTGAGCTCCTCTTGATGTAATTTTTCTCGAAACCTTTGGCTTTGGCCTCAAATTGCTGAAGCGTGTACTTCTCCCCACTCTGCCACACGGGTTTCTGCACAGGCCGGTGCTTCCTGGGGCAGAACCCGATCTGTTGCTGCCGAGTAGTGAATGTGGGGCCACTGGAGCCAGGTCGAGCGGAAAGCGACTTATTAAGGTTAGAAATAGCGGTTTTCTTTGGCGGGGCCGCGACAGGGGGAACAATTTTGCAGATTCCATACCTTGAGGCTTCGGCCTCGATCTTGAAAATGTATGCAATTGGATCTCTGAACTCTTCTAGGGTGGGATGGTACTCTGGAGCAAGTGGTAGGGTTTTCAGCCATGAAAGCACCTCAGCCCCACTGCAGCCTTCACCCATTAGGTCAGCAACACATTCGCACACGGATATATATCCGAATGTATGCCTAAAGATCTAGGAAGTGTCACCGTCACCGCTTGATAAGCATCATAGCTGCTTTCAGGAGAGCGGAGAATAAGAAATAATGGGTGGAGATTTAAGAGAGAGAGAGGGGGGTTGAAAATTCAAAGGTGAGATGGCCAAATTTGCACACTCTTTATTAAATGAAGATGAAGAAGAAGGGATACAGATCGATGGATGAATATGGATAGCTACAGACGACAGATATCTATGTATTGCTCTGTTTTGGTGTGTGTGCACAAAAAGAACAGAGGGGAAAACGGGGCTGGGCAGAGTACAGTGAGGTAAGTGTTACTCGCTTCACTTTTGTATGTTAAATGCATCAAATTTAGGGGAGAAATCAGGTCGGCTTTTGGCTAGGGTCGTAAAAATTAGATTCTACATCTTTTCAACTCAAATCTGTTGATCTGGTCTGATTTGAGATTGAAAATAGTCCAAAAGAAAACATCCTTGGTCCGCTTGAGATCAAACAAATTATAAGTTGTTTTTGAAGTGTTTTGCCTATCTATATTATACTATCGTATTTTCTATTTTTAGCTTAATCAAATTGGCCTACAAAAATGTTAATTAGTTATTTGAAGAACTGAATTCTACCAATAAAGATGGTTAATTTTATTCTCCTCATCTTCACTGTGTTCTCCATTCTTGAGAGATGATAGCTATTTGTAGCGATCAACAACTGCATTAGATATAAACTATATCGATACCACCGATGAAAATTGTCATTATTACTAAAATTATTATTTCTTATTGTTATTGGTTGCGTTTAGTGACATATATTGTTATTCTATTACCAATTGATATGAAACAATAGAGATGCCTTTCAAAAACTACATAGAGTAGGTAGTGCATTCACTTCTTTGTAATGTCATAACAAGTAACTTCATACATACACAAAACTAATTTCTTAGTTCTAACCTAAAACCGGTACTAAAAACTAATTGAGTTCAATTGACTATGATTCCTCTAAAACGGGACCAAAACCTGTTTTGAGACCGATTTCGATTCCTCTTAACGGTTTTAGTTCCTTTGACTTCCAATTTAGGGATGTCAAAAAAAACCGACCCGCAATGACCCGCCCTGGCCCGAGACATTTGGGGCGGGTCCGGCCCGCCCCGTCTTGCAAATGGGGCGGGTCCACCCCGCCTATACAATGGGACGGGCCCGGATATTAGTATTTACCGGTGCCGCCCCGACCCGCTCAATATATAAGTATACATACTTTTTCTTAAATTATACTACAAATATACTTCAACATACATATGTGTGTATACAATAATCATATTTTTTTCTTATAATATATCAATATATATATATTAGAATGAGTTAAACGACGGATTATCAATGTCTTCTTTATATATAGCATTTTAATACATATATTCAATTATTAATATAAATAAATAGATTAATTATTCAAGTCTGAGTAATTTTTCCTTAATTTTTGAAATTTTTAGCGTATCATGAATTTGATTTAATATATTAATTTTTAACTATTATTTAGAGAGAAACTTTATGTAGATTCATTGGGTCAACAAGTTTGGATCCATCCAGGTCACGGGACAGGGCGGACCCGCCCCACCAAGTCACAGGGCAGGTCCGGGTCTTGCGTAGGCCTGGCCTCGGGCCGGTTCGGGCCCGGTTCGGGCCTGGGCCCGGCCGGGCCTCGGTTCGGAAATGTAAGGCCCGGGCCCGGCCCGCCTATGAGCGGGTGCCGGTTCGGGCCGGGTGACCCGGCCGGGCCCCGGGTCGGGTGAACCGGCGGGTCGGGTCGGGCCTAGAAATATTTTTTTTTTTTTTTAACTTATATTCTTATACATCTACTTGGAATCTTGAATATTAAAATTATTTAAAAACAATCTTGAAGTACATTTATGTGAAATAAGTAATAAGTACATTTTGAGAATTGAGAACAATTAATTCTAATACATTTTCTATTAAGTAATAATAATATAATATAATTAAAAAATGCGACATATAAAAAAATTTAACTTTTATTGATTTGAAATATGAACTACAAATCTACAAGTTCACAAATTACAATAGAGAATTGAGGATAAAATAAGAAATTGTAAAATACTAATCAATCGGAATCCCCGGCATAGGTAGAACCACCATCGGTTGATTCATCCATAAAGTCTTGGGAGGGGATGAGACTAAGTTCTTGAGTTCTACGTCTTGCCTTCAACCAATCGTGGTAGCATATAAGTGTCTCAAGAGATTCGGCACTCAAACACGTTCTCGATTTAGTTAGGACGTTGCCGGCCGAACTAAATTCTTGTTCCACGGCAACTGTTGAAACCGGCATTGATAGTACTTGCTTAGCCATCCGTGCCAAAATCGGGAACGTTCTTTCTTTTGACTTCCACCACTTTAGGACGTCAAAATCTTCATTTTCTACAAACTCAACCTCATAGTTAATATACAAAGCAATCTCATTAATTGTGCTTTGTTCAGTAGTGTGCGTTGTTTTAGCTTTTTTCATAAGATTGCCAAATGCAGATTTAAAAAGACCTTTTCCTTTAGATGAAGATGTTTGGGTTCGGGGAGGGGGCATGTTGCCATATTGTGCACGAAACTCATTAAATAAAGAATAAAATAAACTACTAACCTCGTTGTATTCAGATTGCGGATCTATAGGGTTATCTTCATACATTGGAAAATCACCATAAAAAGATTGATAATAGAACTTGTAACATTGTTCCAAATTACTAAGTCGATAACGAGGATCGAGAATAAAAGCAATACCATAAATATGTGGAATATGTGAATAATATTTTAAAAACTTTTCCTTCATAAAAGTACAAAAATAGCTCACATAATCGGCATTTTGAAATTCATTAAAAGCACCGGCGAGATTAACAAGTTCACGCATAAATTCGTTTGAAGTAGGTTTATAAACATGACTAAAACTTTCAGTTGCATTATTAAAAAATATCAAAACATTACAAATTTTTTCGCAAGTGTCGATGTGAGCAGAGTTTAAAATGTAGTTATCATATTCTTTTAAAAAAGCAGGAAAATGTTCTTTATATCTAATAAGAACTCTAATTAATTTATAAGAACTATTCCACCGAATAGACAAATCTTTAGGAAAAGCAACATATTTCACATTTCTTTCATTCAAATAATTTTTCCATTTTAATTTAAGTTGACCATTAGCCCAAATACGTCTAATCCCCCCCTTCGCTACCTCCATAGCATCTCCCAACGCTTTTAGACCATCCTGCACACATAAATTTATTATATGGCATGCACATCGTTGATGAAAAAATCTACCCATCAAAGTAGTAGGACCACACAATTCACGCAATCTAGGTATAGCAGCAGTATTATTAGTAGCATTATCAAAACCTATAGCAAACACCTTATTAACCAAATTATACTCAATTAAAATGCGCTCAATCAAAATATAAATATGTTCAGCGGTGTGACGATCATTAAATTCACGAAAAGCAAGAACACGTTTATGCATATTCCAATCATCATCAACATAATGTGCAGTCAAACCCAAATAATGTAAATTATGATAGGTGTCCTCCCATATGTCAGAACAAACAGTAACACGTCCATCATAGTTTGCAAAAAAATTTTGTAAGTTCAACTTTTCCGCCTTATAAAGCCTTATAATTTCTTTTTTAACCGTTTTTCGACTAAAACTTCGAAATTGAGGATTTAAACAAGTTTGTGCATACTCTTTAAAAGAAACACTTTCAGAAAACAAATAAGGTAAATTTTCTTCAACTATAAAGTTAGCCATACCAGTCAAATTTTGTTGATCATTGTATGAGAAATTACCATAAGGTTGATTGTTTGCAAACCTCGATATTTGTGTTTGCTTCCCCTTGCCTTTCTCAATTTTTGCGTACTCCACCTTGTGCTTGCCCATAAGATGCCTTTTGAGGCTCCCGTATCCGCCCGAAGTTCCCAAACTGTACACCTTATCGCAATGGTTGCAACTTGCGTACCATTTCTCGGTACTTGGGTCTTTATACTTTTTAAAATTATTTTCTATAATAGGAGATTTAGATTTCGTACCTATTTGGGATGAACCACCCTCGTCACCCTCGTGGTCCGCCGCTTGCTCCTCATCCGGGGTGCCGTGACTCCCGGCGCCCCCCGCGTCCTCCTCCGGATCGTCATCCTCGAGCTCTTCTTCGTCAATGGTGTGAATATCGTCCGGGATGTCTCGTTGATGGAAAAATTGAGGATTTTGAGCCAATAGTTGTTGTAGTTGCTCGTCGGACATTCTTTCGCCATCTCGCCGTTGGTATTCCGGTTCGTCCTCCCATCCACTTTGAGAAGAAGATCCGGACTGGCCGCTTTTTTTGCGCAAACTAGGATGAGTTCTCGCAATCTCCTTCTTTCAGTTGCGTTGGAGATTTCCGATATCCAAAGAATGTCTACCGCGCTCCATCTTAACAAATATAAAAGTATATCAAATATTTTAATATGTATAAATTTACTAGGTGTACACTTAAATGACAAATGCAACAATTTAACTAGTCTTATTAGTTTTATACTTTAATTAAAATGTCTAAATTTACCACTTGTACACTTTAATGAATAATGCAACAAATTAACTAGTTTTATACTTTAATTAAAATGTCTAAATTTACTAGGTGTACACTTTAATGAATAATGCAACAAATTAACTATTTTTATACTTTAATTAAAATGTCTAAATTTACCACTTGTACACTTTAATGAATAATGCAACAAATTAACTAGTTTTATACTTTAATTAAAATGTCTAAATTTACCACTTGTACACTTTAATGAATAATGCAACAAATTAACTAGTTTTATACTTTAATTAAAATGTCTAAATTTACTAGGTGTACACTTTAATGAATAATGCAACAAATTAACTATTTTTATACTTTAATTAAAATGTCTAAATTTACCACTTGTACACTTTAATGAATAATGCAACAAATTAACTAGTTTTATACTTTAATTAAAATGTCTAAATTTACCACTTGTACACTTTAATGAATAATGCAATAAATTAACTAGTTTTATACTTTAATTAAAATGTCTAAATTTACTAGGTGTACACTTTAATGAATAATGCAATAAATTAACTAGTTTTATACTTTAATTAAAATGTCTAAATTTACCACTTGTACACTTTAATGAATAATGCAACAAACTAACTAGTTTTATACTTTAATTAAAATGTCTAAATTTACCACTTGTACACTTTAATGAATAATGCAATAAATTAACTAGTTTTATACTTTAATTAAAATGTCTAAATTTACTAGGTGTACACTTTAATGAATAATGCAATAAATTAACTAGTTTTATACTTTAATTAAAATGTCTAAATTTACCACTTGTACACTTTAATGAATAATGCAACAAACTAACTAGTTTTATACTTTAATTAAAATGTCTAAATTTACCACTTGTACACTTTAATGAATAATGCAACAAATTAACTACTTGAATATAACGCCATTAATGGATAAAAGAAGAGAAGAGTACCTTGGTGGATTGGCCGATTGGTTGATGATGAATAAATATTAACTAAGTAGACAATAAATATATATTAACTATTAAGTAGATAATAAATGTATAAGTAGATATAATATATAATATATATATATATATATTTACGTAAAGTAGCTAATTATAAGATAATAAATATAAATTAAGTAGATAATAAATATTAGTAATGTAATATATGTATATATAAGTAGATAATAAATATATAAGTAGATATAATAATATTTATATAAATAATATATATGTAGAGATAAATTGGAGAAGAATAGAAGATGAAGATGGAGATGAATGAAGATTTTAGAGATTGAGAGAATAGAGAATTAGAGAGTAGAGAAGGTGTAAAAAATGTATAGAAAATAGGAGTATAAATAGGTTTTTTTTCTCCCCCCACCCCCAACCCCCCCCCCCCCACCCCCCACCCCCCCACCCCTCTCCAACGGCTATAGAGCCGTTTGGAGCCTCCCCAACGGCTACAAAGGCCAAAAAAAATTGAAAAAGATTTTTTTTTTTTTTTTAAAAATTTAGCCGTTAGGCCCGGACCGGGCCCGGCCCGGCCGGGCCGGTTCAAGAAATTAGAGGCCCGAGCCCGGACCGCCCTGCACCCGGGCCGGGTAGGCCCGAACCGCCTAGGGCCCGGTTGACCGGGTCGGGCCGGTTAGAACAGTGAGCGGGCCGGGTCGGGCCCGGTTCGGTCCGCCCGGCCCGAGTCCAGGACTAGTCTTGCGGTACCCGCCCCGACCCATTGCCATGCCTATTCCAATTCCTCGAAAATAGGTTTTAACTATTGGCTTAGAACCCAATATCAAACCCCACCCTAGAACAAGAGCCAATATACCCGATTAAGGTTCTATTGCGTCATTGACTCAAAACTAAACCTAATTCACCCCTCTGATTATGACCACCCAGACTCAGGGTTGCAACATTTCTCGAAATAATCATATGCTACACACGTTTTTTTGAAAGGAAATTACCCTAAAAGGAGTAATAACAAGTGTTTCACTAAATACTATCTCCGTCGTTCTATTTTGATTATCCTACTTTCATATTTAAACTGTTCCAAAATGAATGTCGGGTTTCTTTTTTTGACAAGAAAAATGTTGTCCTTGTCATTTCACCTTATTATACTCAAATCTTAATTACAACTTTTACTTTTCAACCACTTTATTAATAATCGTGCCAAATTAAATCAAGACCACCAATGTGACAGAGGTAGTATGCGTTTTCCCAAATGGAGGTAATTATTAATGTCGTTACGAAATCATGTTGTCATATAATGAAATTAATACGTAGTAATTTAATAGGCATATTAGTGTGTACTAGTAACATAATATAAAAATATGATTTTAGAATGGCATTATTTTATCCCATAATAACATAGTACTCGTATGTATATACGGAAACGAACTTGTTTTTACTCCTTTTGAAAAGAAATTCCTTCTTGAAGCTACCTCTAGTTAGACTCAAATATTCCCACAAATTTCGAGGCAATCTTCATGGTGAGAAACGAGTATATAGGACCATTTTGTGAAATAACATTAACTTGAGGCCGTAAGTGTTACCCTCAAGAGAGTTCAGAATTAATTACAATAAATATAATCAGGTTATTTGTAGACATTAGTAACAAATGCAGTGAGATGCAACAAGGGTTAGCATGATTCTTATCGTCTTGACAATATTTCATTGGGAAGTCACCCTAGTGATGTCAACTAGTTCACCTTCCTGAATGGCTAAATGTGGTCTAGCAGTTGAGTAGCTCCTAATTAGTTGGAGTTCAATGTGACACACCAGATAAGGATAGGTGACTGTACCCCCACCCCCCACCCCCACCCCACCCCATCCTCCAAAAAAAAGTTGAAATACAGTCAGCTACTGCTTTGACCTTGCTCCATGCCTCCATTTACATTAGGGTCGATAATCCCAGATAGTTCAAGGGAAACTGGGCAATGGTCACTTCCATAAAAACCTGCAACATATTCAAAATTGATTTACCTATTCAAGCATTACAAGAGCAGATAGTCTTGGTATTAGAAAATACTACTATAAAGTTACAAGTACTATATTCAAAGGTTTTTGAGTCTTCAATAGCTGAAAGCTAAGACACCAACTGGTAATTGACTTTGGTGTGCGGAAAAAAGGTATGCCGGAAAATCTAGGTATTGATAGGAATCTGGCTTAGTAGGTTAATAATAATAGTAAGTGTACATGTAGTAGTATAAATAGAAGAAGAGGGGAGAAAAATGGGTAGGCAAGTATTCAGTTGAATTTGGCTAGGGTAGGAGATTGGGCATCTCGAATGGTCCACTGTATTCCTTCTGTAAACAACGAATCACTTCAATAAAGCTTCTTGATCATCTTCTTGATCAATTCTTCCTAATTTTCTACTATTCTTAGTTGAATTATACTAGTGTTCTATCAATGGTATCAGAGCAAGAATGGAGAAGGGGGTGGATTCGCTGGAGAGTAAGCATCGATGAAGAAAAACTTAACAGACGTGAGAACGATGGCGGAAAACATCGCCAGACAGCTAGCTGCGATGGAAGAACACTTCCAGACTAGAGGACATTCGCGATCGCCAAGATCTTCTGTCAGTTCGCAATCTTCTACGCGAACTACTGTTTGTCCCTACAGTTCATCATCGCAAGTCGACTCCCTCATCCATTCGCAGAAGTCTTCGCAGTCGCGAACTTCATCATTCGCAAGCAGTTCACGACCACGTGCGACGTGATCGAGAGAAGATTCCAGTCCGCAGTCGCTAGTCCAGCATCTACGTGCGCAAGTTTGGTCGCAAACTGCTTCTCCAAGTTCATATCACAGTTTGCAGTTGCGAACCCCATCTCCCAGTTCGCAATCGCGAACTCTTTCTCTCGTTTCTCCAAGATCGCAGACTTACTCACTCGCGGACTCGCACAACTTGTCTTCGGTAGTCATCTCTCACCAGGCGCAATTTTCATTGCTTGGAACTCCACCACCTAAACGGAACACTGAGTTGAAGCAGACGTTGTCTAAATCTTCAGTTCAAGAATTGGAGACGAAGGATGATATTCGGGAAGGGGCAGAAAGCGTTGATTCACCAGTTAATCTAGAAGAGTCTGAAGCGCACAAATCGGATAATCTTACCTATGAAGTTCGAAGGTATACTAGTGCCTTAGACCGAAACCCAGAACATTTTAAATCTTGGATTGGTAGAGTTCCGGAACTTGGATTGGGTATTCTAATGGAAATTATGCACCCTTGTTTACTGAACAACAGTTTGGAAGGGCTGAATAAGATTGATGGTATTTCTTCTATGAAATATATTCAAAATGAAATGGGAGTAGAAATTACCTGAAAGTATAAGGAAAATGCTATGGTTTCAGATTCTGATAGTCCTGAGTTCTTCGGAATCCACATAAATTGGAAAGTTGGAAGAGAAAAGAGAGTACAAACTTTGAGTACTTGGTGATTATCAACACACTTGCTGGAAGATCTTATAATGATTTAAGAGAGTATCATGTGCCTCTTTGGGCTCGAGCTGATTATGCATCCAGGAATCCCTTGCACTCTGGTACTCCCTTTCCTAGCTGGAAATGGAAAATATCTTCAGGCAATCTATCTAAGTTCTTGTTGACAATTTTGGATAGCAAGAAGTGTGTAAAGGTAATGATGCATAATCTGGAGGAGTTGGTGTGTGGTGTCATTGTTTTTCTACAGATAAGAAAGCAGCACGCCCACACCAGGATCTGGTTGATGGATACCAACAAATTCTTTGCTAAAGTGGAAGAAAAAAGGTTTATTGAATCATGGCAGGAGAAGTTTGTGGGATCATCAGTTGGGTGGAGAATACCAGACACTACTATTTTCACCTTAGCTTCAGTGTCAGAGAAGATATTTGTAACAAAGGTTTCTGGAAATGGTGGTGCTACTGTAGGAAATATTTGGGAGAAAATTCGTGTAGAAGAAATTGCAACAGGGGTTGATGAGCAATTTGTGTATGCGGCAGTTAAGGTAATCGGCATGGATGTGCCTCCTCCTGTAAAAGTAAATTCTTGTCAAGCACTGTCACAGTTTTTAACTGATAGACTCTGGAGTCGATTGGCCACACATCAAGCACTTAATTTCATCACTCATCAACCACACTATGAATAGGAATTTTGAGATACTACGAGCTAATTTCAGGGCAGATCCTTTTACCAGCTCTGAGGCTCTAGAAGTGTTAGAGCAGCCTGAAGGAATAATCCTCCAAAGTAATGACAACAGCAAGATGCAGGAATCACTTGGATGGAGTGAAAAGCCAAAGGTGAAGGAAGTAATGATGAAGATCCAAGCACAGAAGCTAAAAGCCCAGAAATCAGTAAAGTACTGGGAGGGGAGAGGTGCAAGAATGAAGTGGAAGTGGAAGAGCATGGCTGATTCCTATCACCCACCTTGAGGACAAGATGGTTATTTAGGGGGGGAGTATTGATAGGAATCTGGCTTAGTAGGTTAATAATAAGAAATAATAATAATAATAGTAAGTGTACATCATCATCATCATTACCCCAGTGCCGCAAAGGCTCCCACCTACGGTGGGGTAAGGGGGGTGCCGCAAAGGCTCCCACCTACGGTGTGAAAGATATAGAATATACTTTAGAATATTATAATATACTTCAGAATATTCTAGGAATATACTTTAGGATATTATTATTGTATAGAATCTTATATAGGAATATTCTATTTGTAATGTATATTTATAGGGACTTAACCCTTCAATGAAATACACAGAAAATCCTTTCCTCTCCAATATTATTTCTTAGTTAATATGCTCTATTTCAACATGGTATCAGAGCCTTTCATTTCAATTTAGTTTTTCAGATTTCAATTTAGTTTTTCACACTCGGTTCTTTCTCAAAGAACTTGAGTTCAGTTCAGAACCTCTTGAGTTCAGTTCAGAACCTCTGTGCACCATTCTGTCTACAAGAAACTCAACCCAGTCAGAACCTCTTTACACAGAATCTCTATTCAGAAGCTTAGTTCAATCTCAGAACTTCCGATTATTCCCAGAACCTCTTCCCAGAAGCTTTTGCCAGATCCTTCGATCTCAGAAGCAACTGGGTATCCGACAACCCTGTTCAACCTCCCTCATCCTCTGGTTCTCCTGCCACTGTCGACCGAACACCCAAAGTCCGCACTCCAAAATCATTGCGCGTGAGTGACACGCGCCGCCGGAAGATTCCGCAGCCAACTCACGCGCCGGCGCGTGACGCCGTGTTTCTGGCCGGAATCTGATCGGAACTCTTCGTCTGAAACTCGCCTGAAAGTCCTCTGCCAGGTATACTTTACTTCTCTCGTTCTTTGTCCAGCAAGGGACGGGATCTGTGGGCCGGAGGAAGCTTCGTGGTTGGTCGCTAGTGTCTGGCATCGGATTCTGTGGACGCCCCAGGTGGGTTGGTCGCTGCCTCGCTGGTGTCTAGCATCGGATATGTGTGGACACCCCTTGGACTGCTACCGATATGTCAGCGCATCAATTTTAAAAGTTGAGTAAGTTTTTTTTTTTTCCTCCAAATTCTCTTCTCCAAATTTTGAGCCCACAAACGGGGAAAGGCTGCTGTAGCTTACGGCAGTATCTCAATTTTGAACTTACTACTGAAAAAAAAAAATAATAATAATAATAATAATAATAATAATAATAAAATGTTGGGTCAATTTGACAGAGGAGTAATATGCAATTACTGCAAGAAGCCCGGACACTTGATCAAAGAATGCAGAAAATTGCTATTCAAAAATCAAGGAAATCAACCTGCTCATGTCGCTTCCGCTACCAGTTCCTCTGATGGATCAATTGCTATTTCTGTAGACGAGTATGCCAAATTTATTTGCTACCAAGAATCTCTAAAGCATTCCTCTGTCCCTATCTCGGTAGTTGCTAATTCAGGTATTTCAAACACATGTCTTGTTTCATCATCCTCGAAATGGGTCATTGACTCAGGTGTCACAGATCATATGACCGGTAATCCTAGTCTATTCTCATCATTTCATTCATATTTACCTACTTCTAGTGTCACTTTAGCTGACGGGTCTACCTCACCTGTCCTTGGATCCGGTACTGTTGTCCCAACTTCTACATTACCATTATCACCTGTTTTGAGTCTTCCAAATTTTGCGTTTAATCTGCTTTCCATCAGTAAAATCACGCGCACTCTAAATTGTTCTGTAACATTTTTTCCTGGATACTGTGTGTTTCAGGATCTGTTAACGAAGCAGACTATTGGTAAAGGACATGAGTCGACTGGCCTTTATATTTTGGATACATCAATAACAAAAGGTATCTCTTGTCTCGGGGTTGGAACTTTGTTAGAGGCTCATTACCGACTAGGACACCCATCTCTCACACTTATGAAACAAATATATCCTCAGTTTAATAAGGTGTCATCTATACAATGTGAGTCATGTGAATTTGCAAAACATCATCGCACTAGTTTAAGTCCCTGACTTAATAAACGAGCAAATGCTCCATTTGATCTTGTCCATACTGATGTTTGGGGGGCATGTCCGGTTGTGTCCAAATCTGGTTTCAAATACTTTGTGACTTTTGTTGACGATTATTCTCGTATGACATGGTTATATCTTATGAAGCGTCGATCCGAGTTATTTACTCATTTCTCTGCATTTTGTGCTGAAATTAAAACTCAATTTAATGTTCCTGTTCGTGTGTTAAGGGGAGACAATGCTCAAGAATATCTATCTGCTCCATTTAAATCTTTTATGCTTCAACATGGCATTATTCATCAAACTTCATGCGTAGACACACCTCCTCAAAATGGAGTTGCTGAAAGAAAGAATAGACATCTGTTAGAAACTGCACGAGCTCTTCTATTCCAAATGAATGTGCCTAAACAGTTTTGGGCTGATGCTGTGTCTACTTCATGTTTTTTGATCAATCGTATGCCATCTTCTGTTTTGGAGGGTAAAACTCCTTATCAATGCCTTTTTCCAAATAAAGAATTTTTTCCCATTCCACCTAAAATATTTGGTTGCACTTGTTTTGTTAGAGATGTTAACCCTCATCGCACGAAGTTGGATCCCAAATCATTGAAATGTATTTTCTTAGGTTATTCTCGAGTTCAAAAGGGGTATAGATGTTTTTGTCCAAGTACAGGTCGATATCTTATTTCTATTGATGTCTCATTTCATGAAAATACACCTTTTTCATTATCCAAGACAGATATTCATGAGGACAACGATGAAATACTCATTTACACAGTTACTATACCTGAGACCACACCTTCAGTAACTATGCCGAATGCCACTGTTCCTGACCCTAGACCTCCTGTACACTTGGTTTACACCCGCCGACACAAAGCACAAGATCACTCCCCACCTGTGACACCTGTGATTACATATCCTGATAGTGGTCCGACTTCGATCTCATGTCCTGAACCAGTACCTGCATCTTCAGATCTTGTCTCTACATCTGATCTTGACCTCCCGATAGCACTACGTAAAGGTACACGGTCTTGTACTCATCCTATTTCCTCATTTGTGTCATACAGTCAGTTATCTCCTGCCTCATGTTCTTTTGTTGCTTCCATTGATTCTATTTCTGTTCCCAAATCTGTTAAAGAAGCTTTGTCTCATCCTGAATGGCGTCATGCCATGGTAGAGGAAATGAATGCTTTGGATCTTAATGGTACTTGGGATTTGGTAGACTTGCCTTCAGGGAAGAAATCTATTGGATGTAAGTGGGTCTTTGCTGTTAAGGTTAATCCAGATGGATCTGTTGCTCGATTGAAAGCTTGATTGGTTGCAAAGGGTTATGCTCAAACCTATGGTGTTGATTATTCTGACACTTTTTCTCCTGTTGCTAAATTAACATCTGTCAGGTTACTTATCTCACTCGCTGCAACTCATGATTGGCACTTACACCAGTTGGACATTAAAAATGCATTCTTGCATGGTGACCTTCAGGAGGAAGTTTATATTGAGCAACCTCCGGGATTTGTTGCTCAGGGGGAGTATGGGAAGGTTTGTCGACTTCGCAAATCTCTTTATGGTCTGAAACAGAGTCCTCGTGCATGGTTTGGGAAATTCAGTCAATCCATTGAACGGTTTGGAATGATAAAAGGTCAATCAGATCACTCTGTCTTTTACAGAAAAACGAAAGCGGGTATCACATTGCTTGTGGTGTATGTCGATGATATTGTGATTACAGGAAGTGATACTGCAGGTATTTTGGCTCTTAAGAATTTTCTTCATAGCCAATTCCAAACAAAAGAGCTAGGCTCATTGAAATACTTTTTGGGTATTGAGGTAACACGAAGTAAGAAAGGCATATTTCTATCTCAGCGTAAATATGTACTTGATTTACTAACTGAAACAGGGAAATTGGGAGCAAAGCCAAACACAACTCCCATGGTTCCCAATGTGCAACTCACTTCAAAAGGCATACCATTCGAAGACCCAGAAAGGTACAGAAGATTGGTTGGAAAGCTTAACTATCTCGCAGTCACTCGTCCAGACATTGCTTACTCTGTGAGCGTAGTAAGTCAATATATGTCATCTCCGACCATTGACCATTGGGCTGCTGTAGAACATATATTATGTTACTTGAAGGGAACACCAGGACGCGGGATTGTCTATCAAAATCACGACCACATGAGAATAGAATGTTTTGCTGATGCTGACTGGGCAGGATCTAAAGATGATCGAAGATCTACCTCGGGGTATTGTGTCTTTGTTGGAGGAAACCTAGTATCCTGGAAGAGTAAGAAACAGAGTGTGGTTTCTCGTTCGAGTGCCGAATCAGAATACCGAGCTATGGCACAATCTGCATGTGAGATCATATGGATAGGCCATTTATTGGGTGAAATCGGATTGAAGACACCAATGCCTGCTAAATTGTGGTGTGATAATCAAGCTGCCATACACATTGCCAACAACCCAGTATTTCATGAGAGAACAAAGCATATTGAGGTTGATTGTCATTTTATTCGAGAGAAGATACAAAAAGGATTGATCTTTACGGGATATGTGAAGACTGGAGAACAACTTGGAGATTTGTTCACTAAAGCACTAAATGGGATCCGAGTTGGTTATTTATGTAACAAGTTGGGCATGATAAATATCTATGCTCCAACTTGAGGAGGAGTGTGAAAGATATAGAATATACTTTAGAATATTATAATATACTTCAGAATATTCTAGGAATATACTTTAGGATATTATTATTGTATAGAATCTTATATAGGAATATTCTATTTGTAATGTATATTTATAGGGACTTAACCCTTCAATGAAATACACAGAAAATCCTTTCCTCTCCAATATTATTTCTTAGTTAATATGCTCTATTTCAACACCCCTGTACTAAAACATAGAGAGACTGTTTCCGGATGACCCATAGTGAAAATTGCGTCTAAAATTGCATGGACTGACTGCAGCTTCATAACAAAGAAGTGCAGACAGTTTAGTGAGCCATTTTGCTTTATTCCATCATATTTTCAAGCCAAAAAATAGTGAGTCTTTAGCTCCATTGCAAATAATAGTAACTTAGTAAGTGTACATGTAGTAGTATAAATAGAAGGGGAGGGGAGGAAAATGGGTAGGCTAGGAGATTGGGCATCTTGAATGGTCCATTGTATTCCTTCTGTAAACAACGAATCACTTCAATAAAGCTTCTTGATCATCTTCTTGATCAATTCCTCCTGATTTTCTACTATTCTTAGTTGAATTATACTAGTGTTCTATCAAGTATTTTTGGGTCCCGGAAAATAATAGGCAAAGAAAAAACAAATGCTTAAGACGTATTCTGTGAAGTTTGACTTTAGGTAGAAAATGAGATATGATTTTACAACTATTTTGCAAATGTATAGATTTCTTAGTGGTTATTAATAGAAGCAATTAGTAAAATGAGTTCCTGCGCATTTTTTTCCCACAGAATATTATTTCCTTTTAATTTTGCTCCCTAATTTCCTCTGGACTTCCTTTATGGGGTATTTCCAGCTTCTAGACACACCCCTAATGTATGTTTGTATCTGGGAAAATGCAAGGAAGAAGAAAGATCCTGCAATGGATTTTTGTTGTTATGTTTGGTTTTTCCTTGGAAAATAAAAAGGAAAATGAAATATTATTGAAGTTTTTATGTAAATTTTGATTTCTTAGGCTTTATATAATACAAATGAATACATTAAAGGGTTTGAATAATATCTAATAAAGATTAATTGAGTTTATTCTATTTATAATTTTCCCTCAAATTTTATTCCCTTTTAAGTTTCCTTTTATCCTTCCCCTTCATTTCCTTTCCCAAACAATTTTCCATGTTCCAAACGGACCCCTAGGGAACGGGAAAGAGTGGTGAAAATTGTAATTTACGTTAATAAGCACTGCAATGATCCTTAAAATATATATTAGGGTTTTAAGAGATTATTAGTTAGTCCTCATCGTGCCGATTGTACCTTTCAATTCAATCCCTCGACCATGCATCTCACACGAAACTATCCTATCTTTCAGTTCCTCTGAGACGATAAAATAATCAATTCTCATCCTTTTACCCCGATACCTGATGAAAAGAAAAAAAATCATTTTTAGTTCTGACCATCAAGTTATGCCTAAAGATGAATAAACCAACTTGAACACAATGATGATGATGGAGGAACAGGCGCTTTTTTTTTTTTTGGGGGGGGGGGGTCACCATACTTCATTAAAAAAAAGCAGCAGATCAGTGGTGCTTGTTGGAAAAGCACGTCCAACTTTTAAGTGATTAAATGAGAAAGCACTTACAATAAAAACTCTTTTACCATTAGTTACTTTTTAGAGGCTCTAAGCAAGTCTGAAAAAATTGTTTTCTTACTTCCCAACTGGATTTCCTGACCACGAGAAGCCGCATTCCATGTCTGCATCCTTGTGTAGGTATCTATATGCATCCACTAGCTTTCCTCTGAGAAGCATCCATGAAAAATGGAGCAATTTGCATTCAAGAACGCAACTACATGCTGATATAATACACTTTGCTAGGACAAAGAGAGAAGCAAGAACAAGGTTGGAGAGAGAAGAAAATGAGTAGAAGATGGGTAAATGTTTATGGTGTTTGGACTGAAAGTAGGGAATGGATAAAAGTCAAATTTAAGACAATTTCACCAAACTAAAGAAATTGAAAATAGTTATTAAAGAAAAAATTGTCTTAAAATAGTTAAAGACAAATTTATCTCAATTTGTCTCAATATAGTTAAATTGAAAATAGTTGAACTTTTCAATAGCATTAATATAGTTAAATTGTAGATTCAGTCATTCAACCACACCCTTCTCAAGTTCCTCTCCATTATTGTAGAGATTGAGTTTTTAAGTGGGCCTACATTTAGTTTTCTCTACTACCTATTTTCAACTCATACAAACCTATGTTATCAGACCTGAACCGGCCCGGGCGGGTCGACCCGGAACACGGCGACCTGCTTGTAATACCGGGCCGGTTAGCACCAAACCCGCAAATGACTAAAAACCCGCTTAAACCTGATGGCCATGCCGAAACCTGCCCCCAAACTCGTTCCGGAACTTGGCCAAAACCGACTAACCCGGCCGTTTTGTTTTCTTCAAAAAATTTGCGTGGGGGGAATCGAACCCTGGTGTGCCCTGCACCTCCCTGCTATCTAATCCGTTGCACTACACAAGCTAATTGGTCATATGGATTCTTTGTTTACTATTAGTTCTTGAAGCTTCAATATATTTAAAGTACAACTATCATTATTTAATATTAAAAACAAAATCACATTACATATTTTCTCATTAAAAAAATCCCTACTGAATGTGTGTGGTGATTATTAATTATTAAGATTAATATTATAAATATAAAAAATTTCCTTAATTTGATAATAAATAAAATAATACTCAGAGGTAGTGAAGGAAACTTATCTTCTTTGGAAGTTAAAAATTTGGAAAGGAGGCTATGGAGGAATTACAATTACAACCACTTCAGAGGTATGTGGTATTCAAATAGTTGAAGTATTCATTTTAAATTGAGCATTCAAAAACCCAATTTGGAGTAACTTAAAAATTGAGCATTTGAAGGGGTTTTGGAGGGTTCCAAGAAGACTCCAAAACTACCCCTTCCACTATTTACACTCCCAAATAAAAAACGGAGGGTCATAAGCCCTCCTCGCTCTTCCCCTCCCCTCCAAAACCCAATTCCCAAAAATATCCTAAGTTAAAGGTTTAGATTTCTTTCCCTTTTATTTGTGTTTTGATCGAAACAGAACGGTAGGAAGGACAGAAGAAGATGGTCCCTAAACACACATACATATGTTATACTAAATAAACCTGATGAATGATGAGAGGTTAAAAGGCACACACATACTGCTTAACATCAGCTAGATATCCGACAATATGCAAAGTTGTAGTAGCATTATTCATAACTCAACCTCAAGTCAATATTTAAACTGAAAAGAAAATTACGTACTCTTTTAAAATGGCACTGAATCGTCTCCTTTCAGCCAGCGTAAACCCAGGCTGCCCAAAGTCCTGCATAAAGAAGTGGTTAATAATTAGTAAGCAGATTGAGGACAGCAGTAAATACATTACGAGACTTTTCTAGACTTGCTCCAGATTAGGTAAAAGTTAACCAGCGATTCAAATGGACTAATATCATATTGCAGAACTATTGTATATTCAAATTCATTACTCACCACAAAGCCAAAAAAAAGAGTATTCTCATACAGGTTATGATTGCCCTTCAAAATATCAAATTGCTTAAGATCTGACACACCCTCCAACAATCTCATACGCTACAAGTGGCCATAACTATTGACATTTCATGACATTTTCCATGCAAGTGAAAATTTGATGATGATGATGATGATGGTTTGAAGTGCATCTAGTTATTCATCTATTGGAAGGTTGCGACAAGAATGCAGTCTGGGGTAAAATTTTGCAGCTATGTTTTGATGTATTAGCTTATGGCATTAACTATTGTTAGACCATTAATTGGCACTAAAACTTTGTCATTCCCAACTAGTGGGGATTACAGAGCTGATGATGATTTAAGTGCTGACTTCCATAAGTTACAACAATAAGTCATGCCACTTGAAGATGAGTAGGTAAAAACTTCAGGAACCTATAATGTAGATATGACAGGATATGGATAAGGTGAGTTCCTTAAAAACATTAATGGGTAAACTACATATTAGGAATACATTGAGTTGTAACTACTTTACCTAACTATTTACTTAATATTGTTGAGTTAGTTAGCTAGATAGAAGCTTCTGTATTCATATAAATACATTGTAATAGCATCAGTTACAATCAATAAAAAGATTTCCTATTCTTCATTTCTTCTCTTGTTCAGTTTATCAATATGGTATCATTGCCATAAACAACTACGAAGAAGATATATATTGATAATTTAATATGCTCAAATTCCCATTGCCATAAAAAATGTTCACTTCACTCATTTGAATACCATTAAGTTTATATTTCTTAATTTATTTGTTCATCCATCTTTTCAACCTTCTAGTTGGTGGACCAACAATTCTTTAATTCTTTCTGCGAAGAGTACACTTGCAATTGAACCAACACACCAATGCTATTATCTTAAAAAGTGTGTCAGATCATTAAGATACTACCTCCACCCCATTCTATGTGTACTACTTTGATTTGGCACAATTATTAATAAAGTGGTTGGAAAACTAAAAGTCGCGGTTGAGATTTGAGTATAATAAAGTGAAATGTTGTAGACCACATATCTCTTTCCAAAAAAGGAAGTGTGACACTTATTTTGGGACAACCTGAAAGGGAAAGTAAGACAGGTAAAATGGGATGGAGGGAGTATTACTTCCTGGAAAGGGGATAGTATTTAAGGAGATTAAACATCACTTTGACTGTGAGATGTATGCTCCATAACATCCTAGAGAGCTTGTGGTATGGAATTACCTCTTTATTCGGCGGAACATACCCATTTTGCTTTGCAGCAGCAAAAAAATCTGGATGACTGACATCAATCTCTTCATGACTGTGTGTAACATACAAATTTAAATCAATTATCAGAATGAAGGCGGCAACATACTAGAGCCTCTATGAATCGCCAAAAGGCTTTAAAGACACACGAGCGGACACCATCCAAGAGGCGGATGCCTCTACGAGGCGCAAGAAGCGGCAAAAAGTGAGGTATAAGGCGCGCCTACTGGCTTCTACTGCACCTGGACTTATGGATGCGATAAACCCATCGCCCAGCGGTGCCTCGCGTCTTTGCACGTCTCTTTTTTAAAACTAAGCTTTTGTGGATATTTCCGATGGTTAAATTTTCCAGAGGCATCGGGAAATTGGACGAAAGGACCAAAAATGGTCAAAAAAACATTAATCAAGTACCAAAAGTGGACAAAGTAAAAGACATGAACTAAATGTGGAATTCACATAAAACTCATAGGACGAAAAGTGGAATTAATTCACAAAAAATGAAAACACCTTTTCCTGATTTTGAAGCAGAACTGAATGAGGCATAAATTTAAGTAAAATATTTTATTTTCACTTGCACTTTCTATTCTAAAATAAAACATAAGAAAAAAATCTTTGGAAGTTCTTTCTTTTCTCTATAATTTTCTGAAATCTAAGCGTACCTGAAATAATAAAATAAAACAAACAAAGTGAAATTGATATAGCAAAAGAAAGTATAAGGGGGGGGGGGGGAGAACGGGAAATGCAAAATAGCCAAATACACAAGGAAAGACATAAAAACATAACTCAAGGTCTCAAGCATGCCAAGGTACCTTACATTAAGATCGCCACACCAAATAAGAGGTTTGTTAGAAACCTGCAGAACAAACTCTAGCATTCTTTTGTCCCACTTTCTTCTTCTTTGGAATGAAGACTCCTCTTCTTTCCATCCATTGTTCGGCACATAAGTGTTTAATAGCTGGAATGTCTCAAATTCAGCCAAAATAACACGTCCATCTGGTTCATGCTTTGAGCCTAGAAAAGGCCAATTACAGCAAGTAGGCTCAATCATAAAGCTAAGGGAATTTATGTCATTTGTCAAGCCTTTATTATCCAAAAAGAATAAGTGGAAAAACCGAATAAGTATTTGCTTACTTCCTTGAAAGAAAAGTAGAAGTGTAGAACAATTAGTAGACTGAAGAGGGAGTATTTTCGTGTAATTTTCCAACATGGAAGATTACGAACAAGTTAGTTATGATAAATGTAGTTAAATAAATCAATACACTATAAATAGTTTTGTGTAATCAATAGTGGTAGAAATTTAGAATCAATGTCTGAGTAGCAAGGCACCTGTTCCATCAAGTGAGAAAGACACCTTCTTTGGTTGGAAACAATTTTTGACCAACAAAGCAGTTCCAGCATACTTTGAATCAGAGAGAGACCACCAAACATCATAGTTTTTGAATGGTAGACTTGATAAAGCGCGTGTGATAATCTGTGCAACTGAGGGAAATCAGTCAGGTATAAAAGCACCCTCTTGCAAATGATATACTATAAGATAACGATTACAGGAACATGTTTTAAAAACATTGACTCATTGACTAATATACTAAACCTGGTCGAGGAAGGAGTAACCTGTGAAACTTCACAGGCTGCGATAAGCAGTAAAATAAGGAAGTAAAATATGAAGCGGAACACACTTTACTTTGTTTGTGATTGAATGGAAATGATGGAAAAGAAAGTAGGCTTTATTTTCAACCCTCTCTTGAAATAAAAAATGGAAGCAGAGTTTGCTGTTCATAATATAAATTAATGTTTTATTGTATTGTTAAAGGTTACTAGTGTATGTTATGCGGGTTGAAATCATAAACTTATAGCATTATAACTTTATTCAAATACTACCAAAATCAATAATCAAAATAATAAAAAATAAATTTATTTAATCTCCTTTTTTTAGCGGAATTCGAACACAAGAGGGAATGATCAGAAAGGAAAACATAATATATTTTCCCTTCTTGTTTTTCTTTGTCCACTGGAAACTTCCCAAAAATGTGTTAGATATAAGAAAAAATGCAAAAAACTTGACTCTTATCCAGAGAACGTGAAAACTAAATACAAAAAGACATTCATATAAGAAACATTAACCAGTTTTTCTTCACGAGAAGGATTTGTATCGTCCTTTATCTCTCTTGGATTTTTTGGTGCCCCCTTGGAACCTGCTGAAGCCATCCTGACTTCCTATACCAAATGACATTAATATGAATTATTTACCACTAAAAACAAACTTCAAGTCCAACCAAATTAAAAAGAAAAAGAAAGGAAACAGTGTATAAGGTAATAGACTGACACACTTTGTTCACAGCATAGCTAAGTTCGGTCTGGTTAAGGTAGCATATTGAAGAACTCCAACAACGGACCTATAATAGGAAGGGTCAGGAAGATAGTCACTGCCTTCATTGGTAAGTTCCCTTGGAGTCTGTCATCCCAAGTTTATGTAGAAGATCTCTAACATATTTAGCTTGGGAAAGATGCAAGCAACCATTTGAGAGTTTGTGAACTTCAATTCCTAAGAAGAAATCAATGTCTCTCAAATGCTTGAGAGAAAATGAAGAATGCAGTTTGTGAATGATTTGCTGAATGACAGTGGGGTTATTTCCAATGACTAGAACATCATCAACATAGAATAGGATGCATACTTGAATGCCAAAAGATAAGACAAATGAGCAAGGATAGATCACACTTGCTTTGTTTGAACCCAGCATTGTATAGAACTGAAGTAAGCTTGTGAAACCAAGCCCTAGGAGCTTGTTTGAGACCATACAATGATTTATGAAGTGTGCAAACCAGAGAAGTGTCCTTCACTTGAAATCCAGGAGGCTCCACCATATAAACCTCTTCTTCAAGTTCCCCACTTAGAAAGGCATTGGTAACATCAGGTTGTTGAATTGACCAATGATTGAAGAGTGCTAGTGTGAGAAGAATTCTAATGGTAACAGGTTTAACTACTGGAGAAAAGGTTTCTCCAAAGTCAAAACCAAACCTTTGATGAAAACCTTTGGCTACTAATCTTGCTTTGAATTTGTTTAGAGATCCATCTGAGTTTTCCTTGATTCTAAACACCCATTTGCAACCAATGGCCTGTTTACCTGGAGGAAGAGAAACTAGAGACCAAGTGTGGTTGGCCACCAAAGCATCATATTCAGATTTCATAGTTGCAAGCCATGGTGGAGAAGAGAGAGCTTGTTTAACTTATTTGGGCTCAGTACGAGCTAACAGTAAGGTGGGATTAAGTCTAGGTTTGACAATGCCAGATTTTATTCTATTTTGCATAGGATGAGTGTTAGTTAAAGGAATTAGAAGCAGGAGTGTGAATGGGTGAGTCATGAGACACAGAAGGAGGTAATTCAGGCTGAGTAGAGGAATAAAGAGAGGCTGAATGAGGTGAATTAGGTTGAATGGATGAGTTATAAGAAATACATTGAGATGGAGGAGCTTCAGATGCGCTAGGGGATGCTGATGATCGGGATTCAATAGTATTTGAAGAAAGAACTGATGATGAAGAGGGATGTTGATGCCCAAAACATTACTGAAAATGTTGTTGATGCCCCTTACTTTGCTGTAATTGGACCCCAGGATGCAGTGAGTTTTTATAGTGAATTTTCGTGGTATTTCTCAGCGGCAACACTTGTTACATTTCGTAACGCAATGTATTGCTAGAAATGTATTACTCCGTACATTTTATGTTTAATTATGTACTAATATGAAATAATATCTAAATTCGAACATGTAGAGTGATTTTATTATTTAGTTACTAAACAAATTATATTAAAAAAACATGTGCATATGGAAAAACTTGTGTACATATATTAAAAAATATTTATAAATATATCCTTATATTTTATAATATTTACGCGATTCCCCCACGTTTCGTGTCCTATATTTTTTAGAAATTACGTTTCTCGCGTTTCCCGTTTCACGTTTCCCGTTTCCCATTTCCGTGCTACTTAGGCCCCTGCTAATGTTGATTGTGTCCCTGTTAGTGATGTAATTACAGTTGCTAACTCAGTTACTGATGCTCTTGATGGCCCTAATGCTCCTGATAATCCTGTTATTGATGCCGATGCCTCGGTTACTGTTGTTATTAATATTGCAGCCTCTGACGTTGCTGTAAACGGTCCCCAGGCACTCTCTATTACAGATGACGGTGCTCATTGTGCCCCTGTAAATGAGACTACTTGCGTAACATATACAGCCCCTGTCAAATCTGTTGTTGCTGCCCCGGCAACCTATTTTAAACAATCTGAACTTCCAGTAACTGCTCCTAGTTATGAGGTACCTAATCTGGCTACTGCTCATTTTGTTCCAGTTTTGGTTGTTCATAATGATGATCCGGGTCCCAACTCAATGGTCACAGACCACATTGAGACCTCTTTTGATGCAATGCTTACTGATGATACCTCTGTTTATACTGAAGAATCTATGGGCGTCCAACCCCAACATTATGATGATCCACCGGTGGCTACCCGTTTCGAGGCGGTAACCGGTGGCTACTATGTTGCTGGGGAAGATTTCAGTGTGTCCCGACCTGGAAATGATGAGACCATCTCTGATCCTCAACATGAGATTGCAGTTACTACACTTGCCCCTAGCATGTCCAGTGATGAAATTATTTCTAAGGGCACCCAAATGAGAACTTTTTCTATTTCAGGTCATACAGATAATCTTACAAATGATGAGGAAAACCTTGAAGGATTTACACAGGTACAACGAAGAAGAAGCAAAAACTTAATCTCAAAAATCCCACCGAACGAAGCCACAAAAGAAGTTCAACAATACTATGAGGTGGGATACACTTCTCATCCCATGATCACTCGAAGCCACTCAAAGAAACCACAGAACGAAACAGACTATTTTCTCTACCCAGTTGACGAGAGGTTGACTCACCGCAAAAACTAGCGGCAGCTCTACAACGTTTCAAGTTATCTCGTCCGGAGGAAACAATATACAGGCCTTATCTCAAGAGGGCCATCAGGTTTCACAACAAATATAACAGATCAATTGCTGCTTCACTGGGGATCCCCTCAAAAAAATTAAACGGCTGAAGTTTTTCTGAAGTTTTTTTTCTTTTTCTTTTTTCTTTTTTCCCCCCTGTTTCTCTCATCTATCTTGTTCTTTCAGCTTCATCAAATGTAACTTCAACTTTCTTGTACTCAAATCTTTATTTTAAAAAATTAGGGAGGTGTTCCCTGACACCTTCCCCACCCAGTGTGGATTGAGTTCAGGAGTAGGGGATGGAAATAGAATGGAATAAGGAAATTTAGATTCATCAAAGATTACATCTCTGGAAGTATAAACTTTGCCGCGGGAGGAAAGGCATTTATAGCCTTTATGTTGGGAGAAATATCCTAAAACACACATTCTTTTGAGTGAAAATTCATTTTTTTGCTTGTTATATGGACGAATGAAAGGATAGCAAGAACTGCCAAAAACTTTTAAAAATGACTAATCAGGAAGACATCCATAGAGTTTAAAATATGGACAGAAGTTGGCTATGGATTTGGAAGGAGTTCTATTGATGAGATGTACAGCAGTGGTGTCCCAGAATTTCAGAGGTAAGGAAGAATGAGCAAGAATACAGTCCTTTTTCAACAATGGTACGATGTTTCCTTTCCACAACACCATTTTAATGGTGTGTGAGGACAAATGGCTCTGAGTGATCCCTTTTTCAGTAAAGAACTTGGTAAATGATCTAAATTCACCTCCACAATCAGATTGAATAGATTTGATGAAAACAGAAAACTGATTTGAGTACATATTGATAGAAGTTCTGAAATGCTAAGAAAGCGTCAGATTTCTTTTTGAGAAAATAGATCCATGTATAACTTGCAAAGGCATCAATGAATGATATATAGTAAGAATAGCCATCAAATGATAAAGTAGAAGCTGGTCCCCACAGATCAGTGAATATCAATTCAAATGGTGAATGAAAAACTGTAGTAGAAGGATAAGATGGTGGTCTATGTGCTTTGCCATGACAACAAGCAGAACAAAGAGTTGAAACGAAGAGTTGACTGAGATTTCAGGGCCGCAAGATGAGGATGGCCTAGTCTTAAGTGCCACATATTACAAGAAGTACTTGACTGAGATTTATTACAAGTAGACATAAAAGAGATAGGACACACTGAGTTATTCAAAGAAGCCTTAGAATTATAGTTATTAGCAGCAGCTGACTGATAGGAACGAAGAGCTGGAAATGATTGGAATTTGTAAAGGCCATCCTTTCCAAGGATGCCATGTAGTAGAACCTGTTTAGAAACTTGAGATTTGACAAAACATTCATAAGGATAACATTCAAAAAATGCATTATTATCCTTGGCAAACTGACTGACACTCAAAAGATTTTTGGTTATAGATGGAACATGGAATATATTATTAAGAGAGAGATAGAGAGGATTGGTAAGGAGAAGGAAAGGAGGAGAAACCAATAAACTTAAAGTCCAAATCTTGACCATTGCCCATAAAGAGCTTATCAATTGTAGCAGTTGGCTCACTATGTTGAAAGTTGAGAGGATCAACTATGATATGATGTGTAATCCCTGAAACTGGAAACCAATTCTGAGAGTGTGGAGCTGGTCCTAGCACAGATGAATTTGCACATGCCCAGGCTGCAGTAGGTACATTAGGTGCAGTAGGTGGAGAAGAGTAAGATTGTTGTCCCCAATTGAGAAATTGTGGAGATGAATTGGTTATATTAGGTGAGAAACTTACTGGAGTTGGATTATGAGGTGAAGGTGAAGGAATTTGGTTTAAATGTTAATTTAACATAGGTGAGTGGATTTGATGAAGTTGGTGGTAAACTGAATGTGGATTCCACTAATTTGAAGGGCTAGAACTTGAAGTAGTATATGCAGGATATATCAATGATAGCACACAAGAGCATTGTGACCCGTTTTGCCACATACTTGGCAAATAATAGAGTTGTGGCCACCAAAACAACCACCACGACCTCTGTTAAAACCTCCACGACCTTTGCCTCTATAGGTAGAACTTCCACCAGGATTATCAAATTGAGCAACCTGAACTGAGGGATTTTCTGAAGAGATTTAAAATCCAACATCACTGTTTTGAGAGGAAACTTCAAGACGAGCCACATTAGCAGAAAATAATGTTTGCTGTGAGGAGTCTCTGAGTTTTCTTAGTCGCATTTCTTTGGCTAGTAAAAGGGGTTCAAGTTCAGAATAGTTACTGGATCTAAAATGCTACATGCAGTGATTGATGATACAAGAGATTCGTAATCTTCTGGATGACCTTCAAGGATCACATTGATATTATCCTTGGCAGATATAGGTTCACCAACAGACAGAAGATAATCAACAAGGTCTGAATGTGAAGAAGATAGTCTGAAATAGAGCGATTACCTTTACCGGTACTACACAGTTCAGATTTGAGCTGTCTAGCTTTGGCGACGATGTTTGGCTGGAAGAATTTGTTAATTTCGCTCCAGAGTTGATGTGAGTGTCTACAGTTTATGATGCGAGCGTGACGCAATTCTGAAAGGGATGCGAGAAGCCATGAGAAAAGCATTTGATCTTGTTGGTCCCAGATGAGATAAGCTTTGTTCAAAGTTTTTGTCGCTCCATCGCGTAGTACAGAAGTAAGACTGTGTACATTCCCCTTACCCCACCGTAAGTGGGGGCCTTTGCGGCACTGGGGTAAATGATGATTGATCGCCGCTAGCAGTGAAACGTTCTGGTATTTCAGGATTCTCGATGAACTTGAGAAGTTTGTGTGCTCGGATTACTGATTCAACATGATGCTTCCAGAAAAAAACTATTTGAATCAAGTTTGATCGGAAGAGGATGTGTAAAAATTACTGGAGAAACTGAGCTCCCAGCAGATTGAGACGAAGTAGATTCAGAAGTTGAGATCATCATGGTTGGGACGAGCTATGCTCTGATACCATAATAAAATAGATGCATAATGAGAATGTTTTTACTTGGACTGTTTTCAGTCCCATACCAGACTTGACAGTTATAAAATACAAAGAGACCAGACATTTACTAGACCAAAAAAATCCAGTCCAAGTAAAAACCATCCTGAAGAGGATAGTAATCTTGCATTACTGAGAATGAACTGTACAGAGTATTTATACAAGTCAAAGCCTTAACAGACTTAGAACTGTCTACATAGAAAATATAACAGACTACTAACTCCTAAGATATTACAAGGGTATGCTCGTACAGTGCTTATACAGTGTTCCTAACATAAGGTGACAATTAAATTTTTTTAAGGTTAACAAAGAAAAACTGCAATCCTGTGAAAAACTTTTAAACATATGCAAATATGCAATGATTTATAATTATTTAGTATCATCATATCATGTAATTATTTAGAAAATATGGCACTGGTTGATAGCTTGATAAGCCTTTTTAAGAGTTTTTAGTTACCATCCGACTATTGAAATTAGATTACTTATTTAGATCCTTACATGATTAATTAACTAATTAATTGGCACCAGTTTGGAGATTTAATATCAACTCCTTAAATGCAATAACAACAAAATAATTTCATGATTTGAACATGTTATCAGTTTTACACACCTGTAGCAGGTCAGTGGAATGAAAGACTGATGAATCAATTCTTTTGCAGTTTACTACGTAGGGAGAGTAGACTTAGTTTTGAATCGTTTGATAAGCTTATTGTCATTTCTGCTATCCAGAAAACGGAACCATGCCTGACTAGTCAACATCAACCCTCACGCAGGTAGTAACAAAAGCTGAGAAATCGATTTAACTAACAACTTGGATAAAAGCACCCTTAAACCCTTCGCTACATATTCATTTGAAGTCAATTGAGAAGGCTAATTTACAGAACCTGAATGGCAATGACGTCAGGGTCAATAGTCTCCACGAACTTGGTGAACTCAGGCCAATTGTTCTTAATTCGTAACAAAAAGCTATTCGCATTCCAAGTCAGGAACTTGGTGGGGTCTTTCTTGCTGTCCCCCTTCTGATTCTCATCAGCGTCGGGGGAGTTTGGCCCTGCCGTTGCCGTTGCGGCTATCTCCGCACCTTTTCTTGAAGGAGAAAGCGCGGGTTTCTTAAAGGACCCATCTTTCTGTATCGGTTGAAAGAATCGTTTCATCGTTTTGTCGTCTGCTGCTTGGGTGCGCCTAAGAATCAATATTGTCTGCCTAGCATATTTTGGCGAAGATGAAAGGGTGCCTATTTCCGGTACGGTACGGCCTGTACCGTAAGGTAAGACGAAAAACTCTTAGTGTACACCCTGGGTTACACCCTGGGTACACCACATAAATACCCCTCCCAATTCTTTTACCCTTCCATTTGCCCATCAAATTGACCTCAGCCCACCAAATTCATCCGCCTCATCTCAACTCTACAACCCCCCAAAAGTCTTCTTCTTCACTCTTCACGATTCACGCTTCCCCACAACCGGCAATCCACCTTCTTACATTCAGAATTGTAAATGGTGGCCTATTTACGCAACTTGTTCATCGTCGAAGATGGAGCACTAGAGGTGACGAAGTATGGTGAAGACGATGGTCGTGGACGACAATTGAAGCTCAAGAAGAAGGTTGAAGTTAAAGATCAAGGGTCTGACACTCTGACCTGCGGCCATGGTGCGAACAAGCCTCTTCGTCATGGCCGACTGTAAGTATGAAGTCATGTGTCTTCTTTATTAGGTTTTTGATTGTGTATTGGAGTTGAATATAATGATAACTATGTTTACCATTTCGTTAATTTCAATTTTTGTGTTTAAAAATTAAAAATGGAAGCTAGAACCCTTAATCGGTTGTGTGTGTATGTTTGGAATTGCAGTGTCGGTATAACCTTATGGTTTGAGTAGTAGTTGTCTGTGAGTTCTTATGTGACATGTTTGAAGTGTCTGTGAGTTGTTAAGTAACATGTGTGATACTGTGATGTTGTCTGTGTTTTTCATTTAAGATTAGTAGAGTGTATGTGAGTTCCTTATTTGAGTTATATACAAAAGTGGTTATTATTGGAGTTGTTATCTTTGTTCTTTTTATATGTACACGCATTCCCTGTATTTGTGGTTATTGAATTTTGTCTGTGTGTACCGACAGTTAAGCTGTGTGGTATATATATCTTATTGGGTGTGGTGCACCGATAGTATAATTTGAGGTATTTGTTATATTCTTGTGTGAGTTATATACAAAAGTGGGTTATTTTTTAGAAAAAATTGGATTTTAGTTATATAAAACTCGAAACAATATGGTGTAATATTACTTTCAGTTAATATAAATCAAGAAGCTCACCAAACCAATAACAATGCTTGGGAACATGGCTTTCAGTTAATATAAAACAATACTTGTTTTCATGCCCAATTACTTCTTTTCTTGTGTTACTTGTTAAAGTTCTGAGTCCTTAATACTCAATTAATCTACCAACATCAAGGAGTGTTGACCAGTGCTTGGGAACATTGCTTTCTACCGTGTTCCTTTACTGATTTGGATTCAATTTGATTCATATGCGTGTGAGTTTTTCAGCTCAGTTTTCTTTGTTTGTCATATACTGATTTCTGTCATGTGTTCTGCTATATTTCTAGTGCAGTTGGTTCATCATGAATTGGTGAAGTGTGACTTCCAATTGCAGTGTTTGTGTCACCTTAGGGTTTTAATTTTTGTTTTTGTAGACTTATATTTTAGTTTAATAAAATCAATTTGATTTTGTGTTGGAAAAGTCATGTGCACTTAGTTTAAGAATTTTACTGAAGATTTTTGCTAAATACTAAGTAAATCGGATGTTGGCATCATGGAAGTGCAGGTCCCAGGGCTTTGGTGGCAGAACTGGTTGACACCAGTTGAAACGAATTCCACCTTGTAGTCTTGTAGAGGTTATTGCCTATTAAGGTACACCGACACTTTCTGTCTGTGAAATTCACAAAGTGTCGGTACGATGTCTTTAAGTGGCAGAAGGTCCCAGGCATGAAATAAGGTACACCGACACTTTCTGTCTGTGAAATTCACAAAGTGTCGGTACGGCGTCTTTAAGTGGCAGAAGGTCCCAGGCTTGAAATAAGGTACACCGACACTTTCTGACTGTGAAATGCACAAAGTGTCGGTAAGGTGTCTTTAAGTGGAAGAAGGTCCCAGGCATGAAATAAGGTACACCGATACTTTTTGTCTGTGCAATACATAATCTATCTGTGTTCAAAATTGCAGTGTCTGTATCCCCGGATGATTTGACTTGGAGTTGTCTGTGAGTTGTTATGTAAGATTACCAAAGTGTGTGTGAGTTTCTTGTGTGAGATATATACAAAAGTGGTAGGTTATTGAAGCTATTTGGTGTTTTTGTGTCGTTCATATTGTTGTGTATGAAATGAAACTGTTGGATTTGTTTGTGTATTTTCTGAAGTTTGTTGTCTCCATAAACAAGTTTGTGTTTGTCTAACTTTTTACATATTTATTTACGTTTGTAGGAAGGTGATTCGGCTTCTGAGAAAAATGATGATGAGGTGCGACAGATGAATGACAACGTCCTCATTGATTATAACAACATCTGGTGTCTGTGTGTACAGAAAAATGAAGACATTCTCATTGACTTTACCCACAAATATTGTAATAAATGTATTATTTATATAGATTTGTGTAGGTCACCTACAAAATGTATGAAAGATGTATGTCAATATTGTAGTTCAATAAATAGAACTATTTGATTTTGTAAACAGATGGATACAATCAACTTGGGCAAGTGTTCAACGTTGTACAAAACAATACAACCAATAATGTACATCATTATACAAGATGAAGCATTTCACATTGTTATTTATGAGCTTCATATGAATTGTCTATAAACTTCTTGGAATTGTTTGTGAGTAATATTCTTGCATGTGAATACATTCGCTTCCAGGGCGCTTCGGGTAGGCTACAACAACGAGGAAGGAAATATTTATGTACTTGTTATTATTATGTCTACACATATGTTTGTGACTTGTTCATATTGTCTGTGTACACCGAAAGTAATATCTCTTAGTTGTTATTATTGTATGTGTGCACCGGCAATAGTATCTGTGTAGTTGTTATTACTATGTGTGTACTGAAAGGACTTGAAATAAATAAAAGAAGAGTGATTGGTAGCATTTGTACACACACACATCTTATACTATCTTATAAAATGTCTAAGGGAGTTAACATGGGCCTGTTTCCGTTTGTACAGTGCCACACATTTAACCTCCGTTTGATGCCTCCATTTGCCCAATGTTATGCGTGCTCTTATCTACTCTCACCCCCACTCTCCGTAAATTCTAGGGCTATGAAAGAGTTAAAAAAACTCTTCCGCCAGGCCGCGTCACCCTCAACGAGTACCAAGCTCCACCGGTAACTCCGCCTCTCATCCGATGTCGTCAGCTAAGCCAAGGTTTCTCTTCCGCTGTTTTTTGCTTTTGTTTCTATTTCGTTTCATTTCCAGCCTAAGAACGAGAGAGCTGTTCGGGCTGATTCTCAGTCTCTCAGATGTGATGAAGAAGAAGTACCCCCACCCTCCTAGAGGTACGGTTCTCTGCCCACCAGCGCCTCGTCTTGTTTTTGTTAGCTAGGATTTCTTCTCCTTTTTTTGTTTGTTTTTCTTTCCATTTTGTTTGATTTTCAGTGTAAACGAAAAAGAAGTTTGGGTCTGATTCTCATATGCCACGAAGTACTACTCCACCTTTCCAGAGGTAAGATTGTTCTCTCCCTTGCTTGAAGTACTCTAGGTGTCCATGAATTTTTCCCAACTTGTATTTTCTTTTAAATTTTACTGATATCAGGTTTTGTTTTGCTTTAATGTTCGTTAATTCTGAAAAATTGAATGGATATCAAATGGTTGTGTAAAACTTTATTTCTTTTTTTTGACCTCAAGCTCACTTTAGTCTTTTATCCAAACATAGCTAATCATATGCTAATTGACTGAAATGTTGATATTTCAGCCTACTATTAGCCTTAATTCCATAACAAATATAGCCCTAAACATAATATCTTGGTAAGAAATATGGTTTAGTAAATTCTTTTTATAAAAATTGACATAATTGATGATTTTGTAGCTGCTGTTTTTCAGAAATTTGTGATTGATGGGAGCTTAATCTTGAAAAGTGCATGCTTTCCATTATTATGGAGAGGAAAAATGACAGGTCAACCGATGTTTCCTTTTAACCACACCAATTTTAACTCTTTTTGTTTACTTTGTTGATTGCATTTCAGTGTTATTGTTTGCTAAATCTGGAATCAATCAAGTTGGGAAAAAGATTATAAATAAAGATATGGAGGTACATATGCTATATTTTTATCAATTTTGTTTGAGATCTTTTAATAAACCCACTGCATTTTTCAACTCATTATAATCAAATGCTTATGATTTCATTTTAAATATGAGAATATATTGATTATGAAAGTGGGAAAAATATGTCACCGTTACATCTTTTAATTTCATAACTTTTCTTTCAACTTCACACTTTTTATTGGCATAAAACGATTATGGTGATTACATAGAAGGCAAGTAGTTGTTCTGAAATAAATTAACACATTTTTTTACTTCCTGCCGGTTAGAAGGATGCCCGTGTTATTGCTCAAAGAATTTCTCCCTCTTAAACTATACATGAACATTCTTATCATTGATTCATGGTCTTTCCTATTTCGATGAAGTTGTTCAAGTAGCACTGTAACATGTTAGATTATTAGAAATCAGAAAGTAGATGACTTTTTTACTCATCTACAAATTTGGGATGTTAAGACTGTGAAATAGAGGGAACCTATGCATCAGGGGTTTAGCCATTGTGGGTACACATCATAGTTTTGACTATAATTGGCTCCCTTACAAAACTATTCCTAATTCTTGATTAATAATAAATAAAACTTCATCCTTTCACAGGCTTAACATCAGAAAGGATGTCATGGATAGGTCACAAGACAAATGGGAGAAGAATGGAGAAAGTTAAGGGTTAACAGAAAGCACCTTATGAAGAGATGGGCAAAAAACAGAGAGCAAATTGCTCAAGTAAAGAGTTCTTAACTCTTATAAGACGAATAAGAGAGAAGAGGTTGCCTCTAATGAGAAGGAAAAAGAGAAGGTGATGAAAATTAGGAAGCAGGAGGCAATGAAGGAGACATTTGAAAATCTTATTGAGGTCAAAATTCTTCATTTGCTTCTATAATTTGCTTTGTATTTCTTAATGAAAGTTTTTATTATTAGCTGCATTTTCTTATGTTATCTAGCAAATTTTAGTTCTGGTTTTCATAATACACTTTCATCTCCTATGAACAATCA